GCTGTGGTGGGGCGTGGGGCCCCTCTGGGCTTCGTCTGCTGTGCCATCGCCAGCTGCGCTGCCCTCGGTGTAGCCCCCACGGGGCTTTTTCTGGGAGAAGTCGAGCTGCGAAACTACTATTTTTTTTAACGTCCTGAAATAAAGGCATTAGCACTGGGGACCTGGCAGGGAGACTGTGACCAGGACAGTGGTTTCCCCAGGGGGAGGTTATCCATTGCAGAGCGGCTGTGCCGACACCTGCGACTGCCCCGCCTGTGGGAAACTCGACTGTTATTTACAGTAGTTGGGAGCTGAGTGCTGAAAGAAAGAGCCAAAAAAAGAGATGCCTAGAGAAGAGCAGAGCATGTATTTCTGACACTTCCTCTAAAGACTCTCCTAGCTTTAGCCATTTTCAGCTTGGGAAATTCCTGAGCTGTATATGGTTGCTATGTATCTAGCAGCCCTCGGTGGATTTGGGAGCTTTTTGGAACTGCCCTGGACACCCGAAATCATCCAAAAACGCTTCTTCCAAAGTGTAAGCAAAAGGCTCCTTCTCTTATCTCTACTTGAGGGGAAGATTGGGGGAGGAACCTCTCAACTGAAGAGCATGGAGGTGGGTTTTACCACAGATCAGGTCTGGGGAGAGTGTTGTCAGCCATCTTTACTAGCACCCATTGTCTGGTACTTCCAGGCTTATTTTGACCAAAGAGTAAAATTTGCCTTCTTTCCTCGGTGTGTGTTAGCCTGCCTACAAGAGTTGCAGAGAGGTACCCAAAAGCAAGAATCCACCATCTTGCTTGCTACTACCAAGGCCTGACTCAATTTAATCACTTGGGATTAAGTCATGAATCTTATGGTGTAAAAGTTCAGGTTCACTTGTGTAAACTTTCCTGCAACTTCAGGAATGTGGGCTTTGGGCAGGGGGGAAAGAAATACTAGAACTGAGAATTGGCGATATCAGCGTTGCAAAAGCCATCAATGTAATATGTGTAGGACCGTCTCCTTCCAAAATGATTTCTAAGAATACAGTTAATGTTTGGGTCAGCTCAGCCTGTCTTCAGGAGACAGGCTCATTAACAAAGCCCTGGATGTAATAGCCATACTGATCAGCAGCCAAGTAAGGTAGGTAAGAGGGGCAGGGGCTATGCAGGCACTATTCTATCTGGCACATAAATCCAGATCATTTGATCAACATTTTCTCCCTAGGTTGAGTCTGGGATGGACCATCCCTCTTCCTGGGGTCTGCGTGTTCAAATGCGAACACCAAACCTTCATCTTTCCTAGCCCAGATCCATGTTAAGGCATTTTGGATCCTAAGAGGAGGCTCAGTGGTTGCTCACTAATAGGAGGCAGCCTGTTTGCAGGCTTTACACCAAGTTTGCACCTGTATGTAGCAGGAAGGCTGAAGGATTAGCCACACAAACCACCAATGAAATTTGTCACAAAGGCCTCTTGTGTGAGACTGAATGGATTCTATAGGTATCTGTAGGTTTGGGTGGAGAAACTGTTACCAGAAAACAGGCCAAAGAGGAAAAGTATATGCTGAGAAAGTATGAAAGTTTTCTGAAGACTGGTAAGTTCTGGGCATTAGTAGTTCTGCTGAATCTGCAAAAGCTTGATAACTTAGGGCACCAAGTATCTGCTGAATCTGTGCAAGGCCACAAGCAAACGCTAGTGTCAACAGTGGGCTGTGTGATTAGAGGGCAGGGGTTTCTGTATGCAAACAAAGACTACATGATTATATATGCATCTCTTGAAATAAATGAGTTTGAGGGACTTTCCCAACACCTACCTAAAAGCTGCTAATGTGTCAGCGCTACCCACTACTGAGTATACATACAGCTGGGGTGGCCACTCAGCTGTTGCTCCAGCTGGGTAACTGAGTGAACTATGTGAGTAAGTGAATGTGTTGTGGGTATAGTTGTCTGCTACTAGTAGTAACAGCTTCCTACAGTGAAAATCTGGAGTATTTCTGTCTCACATTTCCATCCTAAACTCGTGTTGCATGGCCAAAGAATGTTTCAGCAAATCAGGAAATTAATCCCTTTCCAACTTCTGCTAGAATCCCTCTGTCGTCTTTTTGCTTTCTACTCAGGATCCAGTTTCTTCATCTTCTGCTGTCGCTTCTACAGTTCTAGTAGTAATGGGCTCAAAACCGGAGGCTCGTCTGAAGACTCTGCCAAAAGTATGAACCTTAAGGTAGGATCAAGCAGAAATGGCTGATATGTTGGATATGTTTGCTTGCCTCCAATGGTCTCGCTCAGCCCTACCTGTTTCTACAAATCTAATCCACCCATTATTTCTGGTACTATTTTCTGTCTTCCCCTTCAAGTTCCAGACCAGATTTTCCTGCTCTTTCCCTGCTCACCAAATAGACACATCAGTGTGCTGTCCAACACTGTTTCTGGTTGTTTCTCACAGCTTCCATGCTAGTCCGTTTACACAGTCAGCAGAACTGTAGTAGTTTGCTCAGTAGCAAAGGTTATTTTGGGTGCTTTCTCTGAGGCAAAGAGTAGGAGTGGTAGTTAGCATAAATGTTTAATAGAGCCTGAGAGCTAAGACTTTAAGATGAAGCTCCTTTTGAAGCTGCATTTACAGCCTTTGCTCTCCCAGGCTTTGTATAATGAAAGCACCCCAGGCCACTGTGGTGTGGTTTTGGAATGTGCTGTAGCTTCCCCCAAGCATCTTGGATGGCTGTAAGCTTCGAGCCCCTTGACTCTCACTTCAAACACACCCTTTGCCTCACCTTCTCTACCTGTTTAATTTCCTGCAAATCCAGAGCTCTGTGAAGGAGCATCTGGCTCTGATCTTTGATACCTTCCCTCAAACACTGTCCTTCTCATGTTTTTTCCTGCCAAATCAAGCACAAACACCCACAAACTGACTTTCATCGTGTTCCATCTGCCTAGAGTGGAAAATCACTTGGCTGCAAGTCTGGTGTCCTTGCTTTACATATCCAACGTAGGTTAGAAGGAGGGTGCTTGGGAAAGAGTTTGGTTCTCTAAGCTGCTTATAAGACTGAGCTAAAAAAAGTGTTTTACTTTCTAGATCTTGAGTTTCTCTCAAAGCTATAGTCTAGCTTTTCTGCTAGTTGCTACTGTCTGCTTGTGAGGGGGGGCTGGTGAGCTTTTTCCTCCCTTAAGCCACCCTCTGGTGCTAAACACACAAAGGAAGTCCTGAATTTTCTGAACTTGATGGTGATTTTTTTCTTAAGTCCCATTCTCTTCTCTCCAAGTGCTTTTGGGATGGCACAGTTTTACCAGGCTCCATAGCTCATTGGTTGAGACAAGTTCCATCATTGCCCCCTCTTGCTTCTTTTTCAGTGTGGACTTTTTGAATCTACCTTCCTCTTTCCTCCTGCGTTATCAAGATGGTGTGCTGTAAGAGCACATTGGAACTGGCTCTATTATATACTGGTCTATGCTGTATCTTGCAAGCAGTTAGCATGCAGATATCAAACAAAGCAGAGTTTTGTTTAATGCCTGGCACTCTGATTATACGGAATATGGACTAGGACAATATCCTGAGTGAAGGATGACTGCCCTACCTGCACTCAAGTTCTTCAGAAATATGGAGAACTAGGAAGGTTTAGGTGCA